CAGACGCTTTTATCCAGAGCGACGTACATCTGAGAGCAGATACGATGTTTCCTAAACTAAAGGGAACATTTCCTGATTTTATTTTCCATATTGTGCTGATCTAATGACGGCCTGCTGCGTCTCCACAGAGGAACCAGAACCACCAGAGAGTGAACCAATATAAACACATGACGCAAAACAAAAGAGAGAAAATGTTGCAGACTGAACACAGGATTCAGTAAAAGTGCACAGCAACGTATTGAGAAGAACACGGCCAAACTAAATGTTGGTTACTCTGGATGGACTATTTTAATGTTACACTAAACCAGGCTGTCTGTGCTGGCTCTGGAGAACAACTTCAGTCCAGTTTTGTTCCTGAAGTCATGGACGGCGTCTCCAAGGTCCCTGAAACTGACTCAGCACATAAATGGCAACGTAAACTTTTCAATTACAAGTACAAAATAGAAAAACCCACAGAGATTGCAGCGTTGTGGTTTCTCCTGTGACAGCAGCAGGGATTTAAATAACCCCAAAGAAAACAGGCGCTGGAGGTAAAGATCCGGACTCACACACTCCAGTCGCTCTATCCAAGTCACCATCTGACCCCGTTTTCTCCCTCATTTCGCAAATGGGTGTCCCTTATCGTGCCCGAGACCTGCCTCTGAACCGGAAAACACACAAATAGGAGGAGGAGAAGGGTGGGGAGACGGAGAGGCCCGAGGTTTTTATAGCTCAGAGGGAAGGAAAAATAGATTTCATGGGACGGATAAAGAGATGCAGCAGATACACATCATGGATCAGAGGCTCCTTCAGAACGCAGCAGAGTTTCAGACGAGTTATGTCATTCAGTTTGATCTTCTGAAGCCTTTACAGATTCACAAAGAAGTTCTTTTTGAACAGGAGCATGAAAGTACAGCCTCTGCACAGCTTCACCACTTTATCAATGACCTCAGATTGACCCTGCAGTGACCCGAAGCTAACAGACAAGCTAACGGCTAATGTGACATTTTATGACGAGTATTTGGTTCAGTTGATCCGTTTCTGTTCTTTGGTGTGTCGACTTTAAATGTGATGTGGTGGTTTTTTGTTGAACTGGTTTTAAACTGGGTGTCTCGGTGGTTAGCATCGTGGCCTCACAGCTAGAAGGTCTCCGGTTGGCGTCCCGGTGAGGACACCCGGGATCTTTCTGCGTGGAGTCTCCATGTTCTCCCCGTGCAGCGTGGGTTCTCTCCGGGTTCTCCGGCTTCCTCCCACAGTCCAGAAACATGCTGAGGTTAATTGGTGATTGTAAATTGTCCGTAGGTGTGAATGTGAGTGTGCTTGGTTGTCTGTCTCTAAGTGTAGCCCTGTGATAGACTGGTTACCTGTCCAGGTGAACCTGCCTTCACCCTGAGTCAGCTGGGATAGGCTCCGCCCCCATGACCCTGGTGAGGATGAAGGTGTAGAGATGATGGATGGATGGTTTTAAACCAACCTGTGCTCCACATGAAACCATTTCCTTATTTCTTCCCCAGTTTTTAATTATTTATGAGGCACTTTGAAACACTCAACAATTCACATCCCTGCAACGAAAAAAGATGCACCAATAATGTTTTTACAAAGAGGATTATGGATTTCTCTTTATATCACTCAGTGAATCAGAAAATCCTGTGAACAACATGTTCTAGAAATCAGGCTGTGGGTGAGATACGAACCACCTCCTCCACAAAGACGTCCTGAATGTAAATAGAGCTACAACTGGAAAATGTGGTGTTTCTAAGGTGCAGGTTTCTGGCTCCCAGTATGAGAAAAAAAATAAAAACCAATGAGAGAAAACAGCCTTAGAGGATTGTCTGTGTTTGTTAGACATCCTCATGCAGCCTCCACGGCTTCATACTTAGTCTGCTGCACAAACATCCAAACCTGTATTTTAGACGCTTTCTTCAAACTCGTCAAGAAAAATGAGCAAGAAAACCAGTTTGTGCCTGTTTCCACCTTCAGCGATGACTGAATAAACGCCGGTGAGAGCGTCTGATCAATAAGTGACTTGACAGTCGTATAACCAAAGCATGATTCAGCGTTTTTAAGCTCGACCACGATCGCCCCATTAAGCCGACACCGACAAAGTTCTGCTTTAACCCACAGCGCCGCTGCACACTGTGTGGGTCGCATCAGGCCCAGGGCTGACCGTTGGGTTGTGTGGCCTTGTTGTTCCCTCTCTGGTTCCCATGCAGCCTCCTATCAGCTGACCGCTGCCTGACCGGTGGCATCGGCCTGAACTCTGGTTCAAAACGTCGCCAAGTTCACAGTGACTGAGCGTCCATCAGATAACGCCCTTGGCAGCGCTGCCAGGCCCTGCGGCGGACATAAATAGGCCAGGCTGTTTGTGTCCCATTAATTTTCTGCCACATAACTTCCCCCTATTCTCTGCCTGTCAATGAGGGCGGTCAGGTGGAGGCGGCGCTGCCTGCTGACCTCAGCGCCGGCCTCAGCGCCGGCCTCAGCGTCACTTCAGCTCGTAATCAGGTCGCAGATTTGTTCTTGGTGTAGCGGGAGAGCAGCTGAAGACGTTTATAATAAAGCTGTGAGGACCACAGCGTCTCCTCCATCAGCACCTGGGTGGGTTTTCTAGGTGACGCTGGTTCTGGGCCAGAATGTCCCAGTTCAGCACAGCAGCTTCATCCGGGCCGAACACCGTCGAGGAGAAACCCCACGACACCGAGATAACGCTCTACTGTTTAGTTTAAGCACCTTTGAAGACCCCCGCAGGTAGAAATGAAGGAAACAGAATCACATGGAGGAGCTGTTCTGACCCGTTCTGTGTGGTTTCACTACAACTCTGCAAAGACTACATTCATATCATAAGTTACCCACAGGTCCATTAGGAGGCAGAAACTGGACCCAGAACGTTCCAGAAGCTGCTTCTTCTTTCCAGGTGCTCAGAAGTCACAGAACCAGGAGGATGGGATGAAAGAGGAACACTTACAGCTTCATTTTGTGATTTTATTGGATGACTGAGTTTCAAACCAGAACTTGTTGAGCTGAAGGAGCAGAGATCTCCTCCGTCCTGTGTGATATGTGACGTTTGCAGCCTGAAACATGAGCTTCACATCGTGTTCTGTCTGCTCCGTTTGGTTGGGCTGGTGTTGGTTCTGACTGCGTTGGGATCCCATTGAGGCGTGTTGCAGGTGGATGAAGGTTTGCTTTGACGGATTAGGACTGTGGTTTCATCTGAAGTCGATGATAAACTTGTGGCTATTAAACGGTTTGATGATTGATCTGATGAACCTGTTCACAGCAGCACCGTGTACAAACCGTTGTGTCACCTGCATGTCTGGAGATCCCTGCTGGGCTGGGCGGCCACAGAGTGGATCCGTGCATCATCAGGGATAAAGGCGGTGTTTCTTCAGAGGCTTTCGTTGTGTAAGAAATGAACAGAGAGCTGGAGAGATGTTTTCCAAGCCAGCTGCCGTCTGAACTCATTACAGCAGACACTTGATCTGTGTCACAAAAGCGACATTCAGCCATCGACGAGACCTTCTGAGGTGCCTTCAGGTGCAGTATGAAACCAAATCAATCTAATAGCAGTCATACAAACAGCATGTCAGTGTTTTACCAACAATCATGAACCTGTCGTACAATCTGGATTTGTCGAGAGCAAGAAAGTCATAAAACAAGAGACTGATTTTGTTTATCATCTTCTACTTTAGTCTTTCCATCAACTGTACAGCAGCTACGTCCGACACACTCAGTGAATCATAAACAGGACAAATATATACAGGCTCCGTAAAGCGGAGAAAGTGCTATCTCCTTCCACAATCCATCCGTACGTAAGACTTCACAGCGTGTCTGTTAGGATTCGACACAGAAACGTCCTGACAACAGTAACTACAGGTTTACTCTCGCTTCTAAACAAAAGGTTTCTAGCAGTGGATCAGGTTTATGGACAGTCCTTTACAGGTTAGTGTCTCTATCTACAGCCTGTTACAGATAAAGTACGACAGACATGATGCATCTGCATTTAAATACAGCTTATTCATGATGCTACTTCATTTCATACACACACAATAGCACTGGTAAAGATATATATACTCATATATATATATATATATTTAACATTCAGATTTATTTTAAAACAGCATTTGAATGGGTTTTGAAGAAGATCCTGGTTGTGGAACCAACTTGTCAAAATCAAGTGCAGGCTCCACTTGAGAACCTCCCAAAGCGTCCTCCTGTGTTCAGCTGAAGCGTCTCCCAGCTCGTCCCGGGTCATTCAGCCTTCATTCAGCTCAGGTGACTCTTTGTTTGTTTGCAGTGTTTCTGTGGAGCCTGCAAACGTCCAGCGCTTTGCTCAGAGGCACTTCAGAGAGGCAGAGTGTCAGGAAGCAAAGCGAGGCGGCTGGAGGGGAAGTCTCCGACCGGACTGACGAAGTTTAAACGCTCAGTTTGCTAAAAGGCTGTCTGAGCATCTCAAACATCTTTTTCTAAACGTGAGTAAAAAAAAAAAAGACAAACACTCCTGACTTTCAGCCCAGCAGATGTATGTAAGCGGCTACGGACATGAAGGCTGGTGGATCTGTGGACACATTCACTCTCCTGTTCTGTAGACGTGCTCAGCAAACGGCAGCTGAACCAACACGCTGTAAAAATGTCAAACTGAGGCGTCTTCACGGAGCTGTCGACTTCCACTGATGCACACTCTGATCGTTCAGGAACTTAAAATGGATTTACAGACTGCAGAGAGGCAGCAGAGTCGTCCCCTAGCAGGAGTGAGTCCTTGTAAATGGGCCTACGGCTCTGTTCATGAAGTCCAGTCCTCACCGGGTTCCTGCTGCACCTCAATGCATCAGAACCTTAACATGCAAGTAAAGGAACCGGACATCTGGGACATGACTTGTTTGAAAATGTGCTACTAGTTAAGGTGGTTTCTTAGGTTTGGATCAGACCGCTGAGGAAGTGATGAAGCTACGACAGAAACCCGTCTGAGTCCATGGAAATGACAGGAGGGCCTGAGCTGCACCATCAGAACCGGCGAGTGTTTCCAGAAGCAGAGAAGGCTCAGTTGGGTGAGTTTGTATTCATTTTTTTGGAAAGTCTGTCAGTCTGTGTTACTATCTAAAGCGGGTAGTTGTAGCTGAAATGCACGTGCAGCCCGTTAACCGGATGCACGATCGGCACCGTTTGCATCTTGGGAAAGTTCTCCGTAGCCAGGGTCCATTTGCACGTCCCGGTCAGCTCCACGGCGAGAGTCTTTAGGATGATCTGCGCCAGTTCTTTCCCCACGCAGCTCCGAACGCCGCCTCCGAACGGCACGTAGCTGAACCGGGCCGACCGGCTCTCCTCCCGGTCCGGCCCGAACCGCTCCGGGTCGAACATCTCTGGGCTTTGGAAGGCCGCTGCCGTCTCATGGGTGTCCCGGATGCTGTACATTACACTCCAGCCTTTGGGGATCTGGTAGCCCTGGAAAGATGAGCAAAACCAGTCGGTGAGCATAAAGAAATACAAACGAGACTTTAAATCATTTAAAGTCTGCACGAGCTCCAGCGTGGGGTCGGAAACTCCTTTACTCTCCAAAATCAGCCAAAAATAGAGCAATTTACAGAAAATCATAAAATGACAGCAGTGTGTGGATCTAAGGATTCAGGGAGATTTAGGGAATGAAATAGCAGCAGTGGAAGTGAAAGAAAGTGTTTAAGTTTAACTTAATGTGAAGTTATTACTCAGGAAACTTGGTTCACTTGGTTTTCAGCTGCATGTGTTCACTCACTCCCTCATTCATTGGCTTAATCCAGATTTCTTTCTAACCTAATCCCAATTATTTCTGCAGAGTTGGGATTTCCTTGTTTTGGTTCCAGGAAGATTCACTCCAACGAACAGGCATAAAGACATTTTCAAAACCACAATTACTTCACGGCTATAGGGGTTTTTACACCGTGAGAAGTCGGTGCACAAACGGCATCGTGAGCGCCACAATAGTATCCTGGGAATTCTTCTGCAATCACTTTAAACTTCACTTGTCCTTTTGCTATAAACGCAGCAAATTGGGGGCACTCTGAGGGCACGGAAAGGGTATTTAAGGCCCGGCGACGGGGCCACGTCGGGGCAGTTTCCCAGGAAAGGCCGCCATCGTTCAGTATGTGAAAGTGTTTGACGGCCAAAGCGCGGCCAGCCGTGCTGCACGACGGATGGACGGAAACTGAATTAGGCTGAAGTGAGGTTTAGTTTGCGTCCAGCGCGACGGTTTATTTGTGAAAGCTCCTTTAACTGTGATTATCAGGATTCTCCACAAGGAGGAGCCACGCAGTTAATATCAGTTCTACACAAGTGGCCCCCTACAGGCAAAGGAGGGAACAGCGTGTTTGCCACGACTACGCCACCTACAGGCAGCACAGCAGCAGGTTTTCATACGCTTAGCTACTTTAATTAAATAGCTGGAAAATAGCCCCATAAACACCCATTACATGAATCCAACGGTGACTTAGTTGTCGGTCACTCCACCCACACTGAGGAGACCTGGTTTCATCTGCTTCAGTTGGTGCATTCCTACATTCCTGCAACACTTTTGGGATCCATGAGAAGAAGCTTGAAGTTGATGCTTTTAGGATTTTCATTTAATGAAGCATTAAGCAAGTTTTTTTTTTCCAAAAATACACAACTGTTGTTGCTGCATTGCACTGTGTGTTGCTCTGCAGGGGTCAGGCTAGACTAGTCTGGGGGGGGCTTGGGTGTATTGTTGCCTACGTGGTTCTCCAAAGAGTCTTAGATCTTATTTCCATTTAACAAATGAAAATGTGTTCTGTCTTTTGTCAAACCGACCAGAAAACAAAGAAACCTTCCTACCAGAGACTTGGACTTACGTCTAGTTCGAACGTCTGCAGGGCTGTCCGGTAACCGCCAGAGACCGGCGGCAGGAAGCGAAGCACCTCTTTGACCACACAGTCGATGTATCGGAGCTGACTCAGCTTGTCCAGGCTCAGATACGGTAAATGAGACCGGGACAGTGGAAAACCACCGTCATCCCTCGGACAGCCTCCGTTCAGCAGGCGGGTCGTCTCCGGGTCTGCAGAACTTTCCTCTTTGTCCGTGTTCGCGCTGGACGGGCTGCCGTGAGAGTCGAAGCCGAGGTCTTCGGCCTCCAGCTCTGCTCTGGCTCTTTCCAGCACCGCCGGGTGCCGAAGCAGCTGCAGGACCAGCGACGTGGAGGCGCTGGCTGTGGTGGAGTGAGCGGCAAAGATCAGCTCTACCGCCGTTTCCTGCAAGAAGGATGTGAGTTTACTGGTTTGTATTAATGCGCCTGAAAATCAGAGTTAATTTAAGGAACAGCTGAGATCAACTGAGAAAAATATTCTGCAAAAATTAGTGAAAAATTCAGTCTGCTTGTATGAGTGCAGCTCTTTATGAAGGGCTGTCCATCAGCCATGTGATGGTGTGTTTGGTTGTTTGTGCTCCGATCTGCCTCAGTCTACTGGTTTCTAGTGTCGTAGCTGTTCGTCTAAAGACTGAGCAAGCCCTAAAAACTCCTCTAACATGGTCACATCGGACCAGAAAATCAGCAGAGTAATCATCTGATCAGACAAACTCCGGTGTTTAGAACAACATGAGCTTGTGTTTATGCCATTCTTCGTGCCATCTTGTAGAGTCGGACCAGTCTGCAGCATGGATCGCTGTGGTTGCACTGACCCGAGCCCTACACCAATCCAGATCGTACTAAGAGCTAAGCTAAGGATGATGGGGGAATTGTTCTGGTGGCATATTTGCATGCAGGGAGGTCAGCAGGTCCTTCAAGTTGCTTCTGTACTGGGACGTTAACCAGCAGGGTTGCCTCTCTGCACGATCCTCTGCAAACCTTGAAACTGTGAGTGAGGAGCGTTGCTCGGCAGGAGCTGGTTGTTCTGTATAGTAAAGTGGATGTTATGACACAGTGGAAGGGAAAGAAAGAGTCGCTTGAGCTGCAGCAGCAGGCTTTTACCCACAATCTACAGCCAGTGAGTCACAACAGTTTGGGAGTTTCTTCTATAATGTTGTGCACACAGTGATTGTTCCTGAGGCCGGCCTTCTGCCCAGTCATGGAAACCACAAGTTAAATTTGGTCAGGATTCAACGTGAAGTCCTGCATGTCTGCATGGGAAGCTGGAGCGTATGTTGCTGCTCGGGTACCTTGAGCTCCTGGATGCTGAGCTGCTGGCCGTGCTCTTTGGCGCTGGACAGCATGTAGTCGAAGGCGTCGTAATATTCCTCGTCCGCCTGCTGCCGCTCCATCTTCTCCTCGATGATTTTCTCCATGTTGGCGTGCAGGATTTCTCTGGCTTTGATCCCCTGGACGGAGAAAATCCACATAAAAGGACGTTAACTGAACATCAAACAGCTGCCGGAGTCAGCAGATAAAAGCTGGACACCGAGGAGAGCCTAAAGATGAACAAACTTGAATGCTGTCTTTCTCACCTTGCGCAGCCCGCTGAGCGGAGCGTCGATGGGCAGCGAGAAGAGGTTGTTCATGAGCTGCTCGAAGATCCTCGCCAGGTAGACGATGCGCTCCTCCTCCAGCTGCAGGCCCAGCAGCACCCGGACTGCGATGCGAAACGTCAGCGACTTGGCGGCGCTGTACACGTCGATGGCGCCCGGCTCCGAGCACCACTTGGCGATTTCAGACTTGACGACGTCCTGCAGCCGGGGCAGGTAGGACTCCAGAGCCCCCCGGCTAAACACTTTGGCCAGGACCTTGAAAGGGTGAAGGAAACAAAGAGCGAGGAGTCATAAAAAGTTATTACCTGGTACACGGCAGTCAACACCTTTCAGTAAATACTCACTAAAGAGGAGAGAAGGGTGGGGTGGAACAAGACCCACGTAAAGAGCAGAACTGTGAACAAAAAGCTTCCAAACCAGCTCGCCGTGATCAACCAAACGCACCTTCCTCTTCCTCTTGTGCAAGTCTCCGATGGAGTTGACCAGCGTGTTGGGCCCCAGGATGATGCGGGTGCTCTGGGGCCACTGGGTGCACACCAGGCTGTGCTCCCCCAGCAGGATCTTGCGGATGTTTTCTGCACCCGTCACCCGGATGACCGGCTTCCCGAGGAGGTGGGTTTTAAACACGTTGCCATGGCGCTCTCGGCGCGAGATGTGGAAGTTTGAACCCTGAAGTGTGCAACAGAAAATCAGAATTGGGGGTTAATAAGATAATAACAAGATAAACTTCATTGACCCCTTTGGTCGGGCACCTCAGGGAAATTGTGTCCGTCCACGGCAAATCACTTTTTTTAGATGCATGCACAGTTCAAAATCCACATGAGCATTTTTTAAACTAGTTCACAGACTTCAGTTGCATTTGGTGAAAGGTTGCTCCGTGTGTTTGTTTGGCTTTTAAATCCATGACGTTTAAACACCGTGACTGAGGGCATCCACAGTTTCTTTCATTTACAAATCAAGTCATTTCCAACATTGATTGTTTGCTCGGTGTTTACATGCTCATCCCAAATATTTCATCATATGTGTTGAACAAACTTGTTTAGTGTCTGTGCAGCAGCAGATGATTTAGGAAACAAAGCAGATTGTTAGTTTAGCATCATGTGTAAAAGCACTTCCTGCAGGGGAAGCAGGAAACTTGTTGGGAGTGAAAAGAAGCGAAACTCCGAGAAAGTGCTGCAACGAGCTCCTGTGACTGCGAGCAGAGGATGGAAGCTGGTCGGAAGGAGAGAGAGATGAAGGGATGAGAGTGCATTCCTCACAGTGGGAGAGACGAGAGGGAGGGAGAGAGAGGTGGAAGAATTGAACAGAAAACGTCTGTTTTTGCTCCCCAAGAAGGAATTACGCACGGAGCATCAAGTCCGCACATGTTGCATTAACAACAGAACTCTGCCTGCACAAGAATCTGCTGCAGCTTCTCGAAGCTTCCCGCGTTTCCAGATGCATTATCAATAATCTGATCACTGCAGCCTCTTTTAAAGTAATGCAGAACGGAAACCCAGAACAGATGTGCATAAAAAGGGATCCATGCAGACACCAGCGCGCAACAAGACAACCTGCAGCCTGTTTTCAAACGCTTGTAAAAACAGGAGCCGAGAACAGCTCACCTGGAACAGCCAGTGGAAAGTCTCTCCGACCAGCGGCCAGCCCATGGAGCCCTTCGGCAGCGGCAGGCTGCTCTCTTTGTCCCGGGTCAGGCTCCAGCGGAGGCTCCACAGCTGCCGGGTCAGCGCCAGCAGCAGGAGCGCGGACAGGACCGAGGTGAGCGCGGTGGCCAAGGCCGATAGCACCCCGAACTGGGCCAGGGGGAACATCTCCTCCGAGCTGGTCCGCTTCCCAGCATCCACCTGCGTCTGTGCGTTTGAAAGTGTGTCCGGCGGCGGTGCGTAAAGCTTCTGGCCCGTCCGGCTCTCTGCTTCTCCGCCTCCTTTTTCTCCGAGTCCCCTGTAAAATCTGTCCAAATAAAAATAAAGGCGTGTTTGCTCATTCTGTGGACTTACCCTCAGAGGGAAGAAAAAAGGGAAAGAAGAAGTGAGGGACAGAGTGAATGTAAACTCTGTCTGAACTCATCTGTTACCGTCCAGCCTCCTGGCTCATCCACTCATGGTCAGTCATCCACATGTTACATGAGAGTTCATTTCGTTTTCTTCTTCCTGTTATTTTCACGCTCTCAACCAGATTAGTTGTCACTTTTTTTTTCTTTCAGTTCTGGGTTAAAACAAATCCACGTTTTGGTCGCTTTCGCGTGTAAATCTGTAGAAATCACGTGAAAGAGTTTTGGTGAGCAGGACATAAAGCAGTCATCCGATGGGATGGATGCGCCTGCACACACTCTGCTGCGGATGAACTACAGGAGAAACGCGCTTGTGTGCTGTGAGGAAACTCCCCCTCATTCCGCTGTCGCTGCTCCTTCAACATGAGGAGTAGCTGTCAAGTATTCCAAATAGTTTTACAGGTTTGCGTGCGCCGGCTTGTCTATTAGGTTATGCGCCTTTATAGGTACAGTTCAGGGGGCTCAGTCACCCCCCGGGCGGCCCGAGGTTTATAGAGCAGTGGCAATAAATCAGGATAAAAAAGGGGGCAAACGAAGAAAGAGGGATTTGAATACAGTCGGCTACAGTATGGAGCGGATTACCAGGCGGGCTAAAGTAAACTAGAGGGGAGATGTGAGGAAGCGCAAAAAACAAACCTCTCACTTCTTTCCCGCATTAAACAGGAGCTGAGTCCGCTCCGGTCCAAACGGGACACTTACCTCCGACCGGCCTCCAGTCAGCGGCGACCAAAACAGAAATCCGTTTCGGTTCAAGGAAAAGTTTCTTTCTCGTCTCGTTTCTGCCAAACCGGCGACTGTTGGTCCACAGTGAGCGGGCTGCGGGGGGCTTTATAGACCAGGCTGCACGGCATGATCCACCTTCAGCGGATGACGTTGGTCTGAATATGTTAAAGAGGCTCGTTCATTCACAGCGGAGCGGCGCGGAGGAGTGGGAATAAAAAAAACCAGAGCGGAGGCGCAGCGGTGCGTCCTGAGAGAGAGACGAGCTCAGGAGAGGGTGTGTGTGTGTGTGTGTGTGTGTGTGTGTGTGTGTGTGTGTGTGTGTTTGTGTGAGAGAGAGAGTTCGCTGTTTGAGGCTGCAGCTCTGCATCCCGACGCTCTGCAGCCTGGTTTTATGTTCACAGGAATACGCGGAGAAAAGGGAACAATCCAGGAATGAACGGGCAGCAGGGAGCACAGTCTAGATTCCACAAATACTTTTTTGCACTCAGACGGCGTTCCAACAAAAAACATGGAACCTACTTCATTTCTTGCAGCCTTTAAACCAAACATACTGAATTTTTTGGCAGGTTTTTCTGTTGCATTTTTAATTAACGTACCCACGCACCTCAAGGACCAAATTCTTCCTATTTCAACTCTAAAATAAAGGCCTAAACCAAAGGAGATGGATATTAATCCCAAATATATATAAAGAAATGTAGATTTCAGCGCGTTTGTATTTGTGCGTAACAGGCTGTGGGCTCCACTTTCATCCAGCTCTACATGCAAAAGCTGTTGTTTTATCTTAACCGACCACAAAATGTAGTTCTGATGGAAGTTTTTCGTACATTTAGAAGCGTTTCAGTTCAAACACTGTCACTAAACCAGCGCAGCTCATTAATAAACTTCTGATTCCTCCTGTTATTTAAAGCGGATCTTTTCCCTTCACACCGTCAGCACCGTGCGCGCGTCCCGCTCTTCCTCTCGCTGGGTTCCGTTTGCATCTGGCTGCTGCTGATTTGCAGCGTTGGTTCGTTTGTTGGTTGCTTTTGGCTGAACTGAGGTGGAGGAGCTCCGACGAGCGGACTGATGGAGACGCGGCCGCGCTGCTGCTTTTCTCACCTTCAGTGAACAGGACGAGTTCTGCGTTACTTGAGCGCGCTGTGATCCCGGGAAGCCCGGTTCCGAGGAGCCACACCGGGCTCATCAGGTACTCTGCAGACAGGAAGGCTGCGTCGATGCGCGCAGTAGATGTATTTTCACACCACTTCCAGGTGTGAAAATACTCTAAATGACTTATTTAATCCTTTAAACTCATCACGCCACATTACTGCTGAGCTCTGAGACAAACTGTAAATGATCAGATGCATTCGACGCGTTTTTGTTCATTTTTTTCGCCTTTTGTTTGTTTTTGAAACGAGACGTGGGATCCGCATTTTGCTGCTTTTCTTTGTATCTTCTTGTGTGAAGTGTAATTAAAAAGCTCCACATTATTTCCACAGAGCCACAATCTCCAGACGAATCTCTGACACCCTCGTCTCCCGGGAATCCCCCAAAAACACGAATCTCACATTACAGCATGAAAATGAGCCTTATCGCAGCTCCCACATCAGCTGTCAGCCGTTTGAAGAAGCTGGATTCACAGAGAGCCTCTGTCACAAAGATGGAAAGAAATTAGTGTCAAAACACAGAATCTCAGAAGATGAATGAGGATGTTTCCGTGTAATTATGTGATTATTATCATTATTAATAATATTGTTGGTGGCAGGAAGCCTCTGGTTGGGAGCTGCTGTCTTCAGCTTTTTATTCATTTATGATATTTTAGCAGTTCTGCTGCATGCAGAGAGTAAAATATAAAATCATTTTATTTAAACCTGTTGCCCTCAATGTGCACAGCAGGTGGTTGTTGTTTGGATCCTCATTCTAGATGAAATCTGGCTTTTTGGTTTTTTTTGGTTTGAAATAAAGAAAAAAACTCTTTAACCCAAGAAATTATTTGTAGTTTCTGGTCAAACTTTCTGAAATAAACGTGATTTTAACAACCTGCTGCATCATAAACGATCACATAACTTCTAATTAACGGCTTTTAAGGATTCAACTCATTCAGCTTCATTATTTTTCAGTATTATTTAATTTACACTGTTTTCACTGCAGCTGGTGCCACATATTTATTTATTGCTGCACAGTTCAGGGCTTTTCCAGCCACTGTGTATAATAATATATATTATTAATCTGTTAATATGATATTGCAGGATGCGTTTGTATTTATCTAATTACTTGTTCTGTTTTTACAACCTTTTCTAGGAGATGAAGGTAAAATGATGTGTTTGTTTGTTTGTTTGTGAATCGTGACTTTACGTTCTTTCAACGCTACGTGAACAAAACAATGATTCAGCATCTGAGCAGGAGAGGCTTTCATAAGGTACATTTCTTCGTCTTCCATCTGTTCCTGACTCGTCTGTTTCCACGTCTGCCCTCCTGTTTCCCTCCATCCGTCCTCCCTGCCTGCCTCTCCTCCCCCTCCGGCCTCCTGCTCCTCCTTCCCTTTGTGACAAACCTCGGTTCATGCTTGTGTCAGAGCGTTCCTGCCTGTCAGCTCCCATCACAGCCGATCGCTGAGCGCTGCAGCAGGAAGACGTCAGCGCTCTGCTGCAGAGAATCCATCGGCTGGTGAATGTGAGCAGAAACTCCACAGAATCCAGGCTCCTCAACCTTTAAAGGACCTTTTCTGCATGTTAGATTAATGGTGGAGCTGCTCCTTTAACACTCAGGAGATTTTATCTACTTGTTACCACAGTTTGTAGCTTCAACAACGGTTTAGGATGTCAACAATCATAGCGTTCAGTTAGAAGCAAACATGACCTCAGGACGGATTATTTATCTGCAAATATCTCAGAAGCTGTTCAGTTTTTGCTCCACAGATCAAAAACAGACTCATCGTCTCCTCTCTGGAGACGCCGACACACTTGCTCAGAACACTTCCTGTCCTGCTGTCCCGTCAGCGAGGCTCCGGACACTCCGAGGTCCGTCCCGCTAATCCCAGGCCTGAGCTTTTAAAAGCTTCTGTAATGGAGCCCTTCCTCCCGCGGCGCCCCGGGCTGCTTCGCCCGCCGCCGTTTGCTCTCCACATCACAGCTCCGGTTTCAACCTCAGGCAGATGATACCAAACCAAAATAAGTCTGATCCATTTTACCTCAAAGCAGATGCAGCAGGGTGCCGTAAGAACAGAATAATGGAGGGACAACTGTTGGATTCTGCTCATATTTGACAGAACAGCGAGCAGCAGAAGTCCTGCTGCAGCTGCTTCAGGACACGTTTCATCCACATATGACTCATGAGTCAGTTAAAATGGCCGATTCTCATTTGTTTTCACTGAAAAGTGTAAAATTGAACCAAACAGACTGGTGATAGATGTGGAGGATGTGGTGTGCAGCTTCACTTCTCACTGGTCGTTTATTTCACATTCATCCATAACAACTGCACTTCAGGCCATGATGCTACTTTTGCATGAAGCTTTCTTGAAGCAGATCTTGGGGATAGTTTGTGTGTGCAGGCCTCAGGGCTGATCAGAGGATAAGTTAAGCCTGAGCTTAAGCCTCACAGTGATCCTCCATCAGGTTCAGGTGTTTAGCTCACAGCTGGAGTGTCTGACTGAAACTCTGCAGCTTGTAAACGGAGAAAATCAAAAGATGTTTGCACATCACTGCTGCTCAGAGAGGAAGAGAAAGACTGAACGATGGCCCACCAGAGAGCTGAGGCTGTGAAAGCTGCTGATGTATCAGAGCGTCGATTCTTCTCTGTTCATAAATGAGCTGCTTTTAGGTTCTGAATAAGGTCAGCAAGTCTGCTTTAGAACATCAGTGAAGAATGTAACCAGAGCCGAACACCCCTCAGCCTCCTGTCGGTTCTGTTTCACCGTATCGTTGTTCATGTTATCAGAACTTCACTCGTGTACTTCTGCCTCCTCCTTGTAAACCAACAGATCATCAGAGACAATGTGTGTGCTCTGATGTTCATGAATGTTCAGCAACCTGATCACCACAGAACCCTGGAGTCCGATGT